GCCCATTAATGGTGGGCCTTCTCCCTTACTCTTTTTTCCAGCTGCTGGCTTGCCACGGCTGGCATCATTACTCTTCTTTCCTCGAAAGAGTGGCATATTCGACGATGATTCTTCTTCTTCCTTGGGAGTGCAAATAAGCTATAGATCGTGTGTTTGGATTGACGATGAATGTATACTGTATATACGCTATTGTTTGATATATGATTTTTGTGATGCTCCAGCATATTTTTTGATCTTGGGTTTTTGGTCATCCTGAAAAAGCGACTATTTCAGTGCAAGCCTTGTTTGTTTTGGCTATAATAATGACGAGTATTTGTATTGATGCCCCGACATTATATCATGTTATCTATTTTATTAAAATAAACCATATATCATACTACATGTTTGCATGCGTCAACATGCCAACGATGGCTACTGCAGGCAGAGGATCCAGCTACCAAAATCGTAGCATGTACTGAGAGAAGAAATATATTGAAGATTAGCAACAGTTTCGATTCGCATTATTGCTATTACTCTAGCCTTTTTTTTAATTCTTTATATTTTATAGGTATCATGTTTTATGATTATTTTTGTGTCTTTTTTTACACTGTTTCGTTTGTTGCATCTTTTTTACAACTGTTTCATGATTTCATGTTGGATGTTGTAGACAATGCTCTCGGCAATGGCATACCCCAAGGTCCAAAGAATGTCGCACAATTCAATGAGGTTCTCGGACGCTGACGTGACAAAAACTTCTGCATGACCATATAGCCTAGACGAAAGAGGCGGCTTGCTCACAAACGTACGAGTCGGTTCTCCCATATAGTAGTAGTAGGACTCGTATTCAGACGACTTCTTGCTGCTAGTCCTGGTGTTGGCATTGGTGTAATCATTATTACTTCCACCATCAGCATCATTTTGCTGCAAATCCTCCTTCTCAGCCATGCCCGTTCTCCTAGGCGTATCATTATCAATGTGATTCGACGTCTTTGACGATAATGGAGCAACGGAGGATGATGAAAAGTGTGTGCGGATGCAACCCAATACGAGGTCATGATGGATGGAACCGCAAGTATCTGTCAAGTCTTGAACCGCAGAATCGTAATTCTCGTAGCAATACAGGAACGATTTAAAGGCATCCACTTGTGCGAATGCAATGCAGGTGGAGGCTTGTTCGTCGGAAAGAGGCTGGGTGGTGGTGGTGCTGCTGCTGGAAGAAGAATCGTTTTCATTTAAATCTTCCATGAATGATTGGCAGGCATCAAAGAGGGTGGCCAATAGATCCATAACAATTGGCTTGACAGTTTTGTAAAATTCTTGGCATCCGGCAGCGACCCTTTTGACTAGGTCCACGGCAACTGGTTGGTACTTTTCATAGAAATCCAAGACAAGTGGTTGGTACTTCACGTAGAGTTTCTGGCACTCCCAAAAGATAGTATCGATGAGATCCATGGCTTGAGAGTGAATCCCAAGGTTCAAGTCCAAGGAAGCCGTTCGTGGTAGTGGAGACGACATGACGTTCTTCTTTGAAGTAATACTGAAAGTGGTCGAGTTCTTGGAAGAATCCAAAGTAACCGAAGTCATATTCTTTTTATCCAGAGTGAAAGTAGTCGAGTTCTTCTTGGAATTCATAGTAGGTGAAGTCATGTTCTTTTTGGAATGCATGGTGGTGGTGAAAGAAGACAACGCGATGGTTCCCATATCCACAAGGACAATCCTGCCATTCTTGCTGAGATTGGTAGCAATACTCAATGGCAATGGCGAATATGAATCTTGGATTTCAGCAACATGTCCTTTGACGGTTGTCAGATTGGTGACATTGCTGGTGAGACGATGATTCGCCTTCACCACTGGTGCTGCAAGACCAGTTTGGTTGGCAATTACAAAAGACTGATTGCTGATAGTAGCATCATAATTGCTCACGGCCATAACCTCGATTCGTCCATAGTCGAAAAGAGAATAAAGAACCGACACATCTTCAGCGATAGACCCCTGGTACAGTTGCTGGAATTCAGTAGAGATAATGTCAAGCAGATCCAACGCAAGTGGGCGAACTGTTTCGTCAAACAATTCCCATGCAATTGGTTGGTATGTCTCGTAGGCCCGAGCAAGCTCATCAGATGCAGTGTTGAATAGATCGATTGCAACTGGCTCGTAAACCTTGTACAGTTGTTGGCATTCAGTGGTAACAGTTTCGAACAGATCAATGACTTGAGGATCAATCTCAAAGTTCAAGTTCAGCGAAATCGATGCCTTATTGGTTATTGGCGATGATGGAATGTCCTCACCGAGAGTAACAGCAGGAGCCACGGTTGCTTTGAAAGCAAGGTTCTCTGGCTGAAGGTTGAAACCCAACAGAAAGGCAGTGATGGCAGTAAAGAGAAAGGTAAACTTCTTGGTCAACATGGTTGAAAAGTAAAAGATGTTTGTTTGGTTGATGATTCGAAAGTTGAATGAATGAATAAAATGGTGTGAATTCGGCAGTGATTGCAAAATTGTGAGGATGAATTGGAAGCTGTCGCAAACAAGATGGCAAAAGAAACGGCTTGTAGACTCTGTAAGCTGTGTAGAAAGCTGGTAGGAAATCAAACTATGTCTTGTCCTGGTTTCCGTTTCGAAGTTCGGCCGTGTTGAAAAAAACACGGTTTCGTTTTGAGAGTTGATGCACGACTTGAAGACCGTTTCGCGACTTCCCACCTCCCAAGGAGTGATAAGGAAGCATTGGTACCCTGATTATTGTGGTTCTACGCTTCAACATGCTGATTTGTTCTACTATTGTATTGTGTATATATCCTTATATATGTGGATCATGCATCGTTGCCTCATTTCATAGGTGTCTCGCATTTTATAATTTACAGTACGGTGCAATGATAGAAAAAACAACGGCAGCGTGGTACTTGTTTAGCCTTTCTGACACAGGGTAGACAGCAGATATAGATCACGCGGAGAGCTATCAATAGCAATATAGCCAATTAACTTACTAACAAGGCATCGGCACATGTGTAGTCAATGGGAGAAGAATATTCTTACGCTGCGAAAAGTCATGCTGTCCAAAGAGTAACAATACAGTATAAATAAGGTACCACCGTCCGAAAACGAGATTTCAAGGCATCCTTGGGAAACTGGCCAATTTTTCAGACAGCCAAGGCATTCTCTTTCAAGTCATTGTTGCTTTCATTCATTCATTCACTTTTCCAGTCAAAACGGAGCATCTGCCACAAAGGTCAATCGTTTGCCCGACTTGGGGTGGTCCAATTCCAGATATCCTGCATGTAGGCACAGTCGTTCGTCTCGTTGTCCATAGATGTCATCTCCAACAATTGGAATATCCAATCCTTGAGCATGAGCTGCATGAACCCGCAATTGATGAGTACGTCCCGTGACTGGATAAAAGTGAATCCGGGTACGATGATGAGTGCTCATCATCTCCTCCCCCACCACTTCGTAATGCGTCTTGGCAGGTTTGCCAGCCTTCCAGTCTACCTTTTGCATGGGTCGATTCAAGTAGTCCGTATTCAATGGAAGGTCAATCGTACCCTTTGAGGGCTTACCCAAGATTCTTCCTTCCAACAAGGCAGTGTACCGCTTCTTGATGGTTCGATTGATAAATTGGGCCTGTAATACCTTGTGAGCCCCCTTGTCCTTGGCCACTACCAGAAGACCACTAGTGGACATATCCAATCGATGTACCAGCAAGGGCCCAGTAGCATTGGGATACTTTTCTTGAATAATACTATGCACGGAATGTTCTTGATGCCGTCCTGGAACCGAAAGCATTTCACTTGGTTTGTTCACCACTACCATGTGTTCATCTTCGTAGACAAATTCCAAGGATTCCTCTCCTTCTTCCATTCCAATCTTGTCCAAAGGATTCTCTTCCACTGGTAGACCGCTCAACATGTGCCCCAAAATGGGTTCGCACTTCCCCCGACAGGCTGGATAGTAGAAATTGTGTTTGCGGACTTGATCGGCAGGTGACTTGCCCCACCAGAATTCCGCCAAGGCAATCGGTGTATAACCTTGTTGAAAGGCGTGCTGAAAGAGTTTGGGTGCGGCACAGTCTCCAGCACCTGACGGCGGTCGACCCAGCGCCGTCTTGGCAAAGATTGGCAATAACGATTGCGTGGCTCCATTCACATTCAAGAATTGGTATTGTTCAAAGAGTTGGTTTTGAACTCGTGCAGACTTGGCCTTGCGGGTTTGTTTCAAGTCTTGGAGTCGACTGTCCAGCTCTTGAAAGGAATCTTGGGCTTCTTGGACTTTGGCCTCGCCCTCTGCCTTGATTGCCTTGACGTGACGTTGAATGAAAGCAGACTTTTGCGCGAGTTCTTCTTCGAATGTCTTGTAATCGGATTCCGATAGTTTTGCTTTCATTTCTTCCCGCTGTTGCTGTCGTGCCTTTTTGTGAATCTTTTGTTCCTTGCGTGCCTTGGACAAGGCTTGTGCTGCCTTCTCCTTGACTTGTTCCAAGACTTGCTGTCGATGCTTTCGTTCTGGATCGGCTTCCATGGCTTCGATCTGACGATTCATTTCATTCAATTCGCCTTCTTCTTTCTGATAGGAAAAAGCACTGATGGATGGTCCACAACATTTCGCATCATTATCGCCATCATCATCACAACAACTTATTGGCAGAGGAGGAGCATCGTCGAATCGATTGTACAAGGGAGGACAAAATCCATATTCTTGTGGATGTGTCACTCCCAGTAGCGAACCCGAGTAGGCTTGGAGATACCCCAATTTGGAATCTGGCAATCGGACGACGAGGACACCAAACATTTTCCCCACATTGCCAGCAGTGGGCCGTTGTTCTTTTGCATCATTATCATCGACAGTAATAGTACCATTATTCTCCTTTAAGCCAAAATTGTGCGTACTCCAGGGATGACTGGGATCTTTGGAGTAGGCGTCTAATGTTTGGCGCAATTTATCACTCGCGTATTTGGCAATTGGATGGGGTTCGTACCAATGCGGATAAGCAAAGACTTGGGGAAGGGAATCCTCTTGGTATTCGTTCGACGGAACGGGCATCACAAGGGCATCATCGCTATTTTCATTTATGGTAATAGCACTGGACTGAAGCATCGGTTCTTGGTTCTCCATTGAAGAAAATGCTGCTTTAGCAGACGACGTAACCGACGCAGCTGATGATGTTGATGAAGAGGTAAGAAAGTTTGCCTTGTTCTGGTTAATCCAATCTCGCCGAACTCTAGACGAAGCCGTGAAAGATTCAACGAATCTTACACGTCCGAGATTGTTGACACGCAAATGCGGAGCGCACAAACAAATCAGTGCCTTGGAAATTCGATGCATATCATATTCGTGCAGTAAGGAAGAACTTGGAACTTTTAAAGCGAGGGCGTCGTTCTTGTTTGAAACTCATCAAATTCTGACAGATGAACAATGAAAAACAATATAGGAGATTATTATAATATGCTACGAGTACCAGGTATACTATACGATGAATGATGGGCCAGAAAATGCTATATACCGGCGACGTACGAGCACTGCGCTGATTGATTCGATAAAATAAATAGTATCATCTACGCGGTGTATTCAGTATCGTCTCTTCTCGCGAATCCATACAACAATAGAAACCATGATAAAGTTAACAGCGATGGCCCAAAGAGGCAAAAACTCATACAATAGTATTCGTTACCGTTTTATATATAAATAAAATATAAATTTTGTGCATTTTAGAATCACAATGTTTTTCTGCTCCTGCTGGAGTTTCAAATTCCCAATAGCTTAAGTTGTCTAAAAAGCCCCAACCATGTCCGTGTCTTAAGTAACCAGGATGTCATAGACGCAGTCTTTGATGGTAAGAGGGTCAGTCAAAGCAGATCCACAGGCGGCTTCAGCGGCTTCAATGGCCAGCCAAGCGACGGTTGCGTTCTCCGAGGGGATCTTCCGGCTTGATGCACAGCTCAGAAAATTGAGGGTGGGCGACTTTGTGGAAGAATCTCGGCTCGGAAGGAAGGACTTGCCACTCATCTCCAAACTCAGCAAAATCATCCATGACGGTAGATCCATCGCGGGCAAGAAGCTGTCCAGTCTTGTCGTTTCCAAGAAGACCGACAGTGTTTCCAAAGACAGAATGGCCGCCATTTACACGGACGAACTCCTTGTAAAGTTGGACAACAATGGAAGCACTCTTGTTCACCTCGATGATGTAATGACGCTTGTAGACAGAGGGAAGCTCCTGACTTACTGGGAAGCCGGTGAAAGTGTCAAGCTCTCCTTGATATTCATAGTTGACCCAGTAGTGAGCTTTGGCATCATCGGCATCAGCGGAACCTTCAATCTCAAGAATGTCATTTCCAATCTTGATTGAAACGCTCTCTCTTGATGTATAGGACCAGAAGCGGACAATATTTGTACAGATTTGAATGTCCAATCCCTTTCCTTTGATAAAATCGGCATCCTTGACCAAAGTAAGATTGCACTGACCGTGGTACTCAAAGTGCTTGCTTTTCCAGGTAGTGAAGTGACGGTTGTTACAGGGTCCAGGGTTAGAAATTTCATGATGTCTCGTAGGAGCAGGAGTTTCACAGTTTTCTGTGCAACCACCATTGGGACCACCAGTTCCTGTAGAGATCTCCCGACCTTGATACCTGTAAGGAATTTGCGAAGGTAGTGGCATAAGCATCACTCCAAAGAGAGTTGATATTCCAAATTGCTCCCCTTGTTCCAACAATAAGATAAGAACAATCTGCGTGAGTGGTCCCATTTAGTGATGTAAATTTGGTAGTCTTCTCCAGCTCCTCTGTTGTAGGTAGAGTATCCCCCAGCTGCAATTGCATTGGCTTGGTAAATAGTAGAGCTTATACTGGAGCCATCGATCTTCATACCAAGGCTGGCATTGGTGTTGGCAATACCAATGTTGACCACAGCATTCAAGGCGTATCCGTGGTCAAGAATATCTTGCTTGACAGCAGCTGCAGTGTTCACTTGATACAATTTGTTGCGGTCCTCATCTGTCACCAAGATAATATTCCTGTTGATGCTTGCGCGAGTACTGAGAAGGTCCATGCCCTCAGTTGCAGCAGGGACAGTGTCCATAGCGTCATCCAGGGCGTGCCATCCGACTTTGAATCCTCCGGTATGAACCCAGGAAACAGGGATGGTGCTGGTGCTGGTGTAACCACCACTAGAGGTCATGGTTGTGCAACCAATGAAGTTGGGATGATTGATGCCATCATTGTAGTTTGTAAAGCCAGTGGAGCACAGGAACACTTGTTGGTAACCACAGCTTGTGCAGTTGCGCTCATGAAGGATTCATTCGTCCATCACAACGTTGATGAGAGCACACTTTTTAGAGCCAGTTGCAGGGGCAGTGTAATGAAAGAATTGGGCTACAGCACCGGGAAGGAGACCGGTGGTAGCGACAACAAGAGATAAAAAGGTCTTCATAGCTTTGCTTTTCAAAATTGTGATCTGGATGTGTAACACTATGAGAGTTTGAGACCCAAATTTTGTCTTTTTGGATCCAACTTTAGCATATCAGGCTATCGTGGTTCACGTTGGGTTTGCGTAAGATAGAGATACTGCGTTTCTGTAGGAATAGCACAAAGTATCGATTGGTTCGAGCAATCAAAAGTGAAGTGTTGTGGTAAAAAGGTGACTAAAAAGCAGAAGCTGCATACCGGTAGACCACGTGCCACCAATTTCATGGTACCCCTGTAGGCTGTAGGTAGGTTTTTTAATTTGGTATCAGGAAGAAAACGCCGGAGTTCACGTCTTGCATCATTGGAACCTTCGTGCACTTTGACTCATTGTGTTGTTCATATTGATACTGTAGTTCAATGATATTCATTTGGTGTCCAACAATTTTCCATACGGTTAGATGTGCACATTGCAAATTGGCAAAATGTCAGCATATTCCACAAACATTCAAACAAAACCAGTATCCAACTTTGCCGTCCAAGTAAGTTAGTAAGCCCAAACCTTGTAGATCCATCAATTTATATAAATAACAAATTTGATGTGTTGTTTTTTCCCCTGAAGCTTTATTGGTTTTGAAGAAAAATGAAAAATGAAAAGGCATCATTGGGCTATGTCGAGCTCTTGATGGCCTTGGATCTCCACAGTAGTGCCTCAGTTCTGAAGTGGTTTCCCCTCTAGTAGACGGCAGAGCGAAAACAAAGCCAATTCCTGGGCATATTCAGTTAAGCAACCAACCTACACAAGAAGCTCAAGCAAGCAGATAAGTTGGAAGGAATCGGAAGGTAGCAACTCCGCAGTGGACCACAAAAACAAAACGGCAACACACCAGTCTCTTTTCTGAATGTACAGCGGGTGGATATGCCGTTTGCAGAGGGAAAATTCGATCAGGAGCGCAGAAATGTCCACCAGAACAATGAGTTGACTTGTTGAAATTGTCAGTTTGCTTTGCTTCAATACAGTAGGTCCTCCTTGCCGTCATGGAGACAAAGAACCACTCAACATCCTTTTGCATGCACCTAGTGGACAAAGAACTATTGGATTACCAATAAACTCGGCATAGATTGAGGTGCAGACAACAGTGGGAGGTTTGAAAAGCATGTGAAACAGCTTGATCTGGCAGAATTGCTGACCTGATTGCTTTGTCTTACATACTTTTAACTAATATTTGTTGTTCATTGATGTTTTTAAACAAGGTTGATACATTGGTATCGGGTAATTCAAGGTAAAAATGTTCCAACTTGGAGGATCAATTCCGAAAACAAAAGTGATAGATCTACAAGGTTTCAAGTTACTAACTTACTTTGGTGTGGAGACATTGTGGTGGCTGATTTGGGTTGAAGCTTTTTGGTTTGGTTTGTTTTCATCCTCAAATCGTGCGCATCTAACCGTGCTTAAAAAATTGTCGGACACCGGATGAATAATGATCGTCAACTCTTGTATTGATTTCATGCAATGACTGACGGACGGAGGACAAACATTGGTCGTGCCAGATTTATTCAGATGGACGAAAGATGATAGATCGCGGTTTTTATTGTGGACGAATTTCGGCGTTTAGTTGTCCATCGAAGACATCCGTCACCTTGGCAATAAGCCATGAAGCCAAAAGCCTGAACTGAATTGATTCCACCATGGCTGAGGATAGAGATAAAATCTTGGGACAGCTATTGTCCAGCCCACTACCTGTTTATTCACCCGACAATAAGGTGGACGACGACGATTCATATGAAACCGATTCTGAGAATGATTCATATCCATCCTCACTGCCACATCTGGGATATGCTTCTCAACTAGCAATGGCAAGTAGTAGACGTCCAAGGAGAAGTAGTACTGACTCCGCTGTGTCATTAGACTACGAGTATGAGACAGATTCCGACGCCTCCGCCTCACCACCACCACGACAATCACAAGAGTCGTCGATATCACCATCTGAAGTTGAATCGAAGAAAATAAGGCATCACGAACCAGATGCCGACGATGCAGGAAAATCACCCTCAAGTTCAGCAGGGCATCACCACCAAAGACCTAGGTTTGACACGAATGTATCTCTAGGCACTGTTGAGTATGAAACGGATTCTGATTCGTCTCAAGAACCTCATCACAAAGATCACTATCCTAATATTGAACCATTGTCCGAATCCAATAAGAGACCGCCTCAAGATCCTGATGCAAGCAATGACAGAAAGCCGCCCCCGACATCAGAATCTACATTTTTAGAGCGCGCAAATGAAGAACTGATACTTTCTAATGCGCGTGTGGAAAAATGGAAAGAATCCTCCGAACGACTGGAAATTGAATTGAAGGAAAAGGTCGTCGAAGTTCAAAACCAAGACAGGGCCCAAGAGGACCTGTGGCATCGCGTGAGGCAACTAGAATCGGATAAAGCAGAGAGTGAAAATATCATTGTCGAACTCGGTAGTAAGGTCACTGAGGTGCAACAACTTCTTGTCGAGGAACAAGCCGCACACAAGCAAACCAAGAACGAAGCGAATGACCTTCACCATCAAATGGAAAATCAGTCAAACGACTCTGCAACAAGTAGGTCGTCGCGAAAAAAAGATGAGGATATTTTGGCATTACAAGAGCTGGTGAAAGCAAAGGACATTATCATTCAAAATGCTCTGGCTGACAATCCTCATTCAGAATCTGAGAAAGTTGCCGAACTAGAGAAAGAGATTCAAGAGGCCCAAGAGATAATCAAGAGCATGGATCAAGTGAATCCGCTTGGACAGGAAGCCCTGCAATCTATCATCCAGGAAAAAGATGCGGAGATTGCGTCACTACAGTCCAAGAACCAAGAATTGGTTCTGTCACAGAATGCACTGAAGCACAAGAATGAGTCCATGGATGCCCTCTTGACCCGAAAAGAAGCACTTTTGAAAAGCAAGGACCAAGAGATTGCTTCGTTGAAGGAAGTAATACGAAAAAAAGACGTCTCGCTTCGGGCGCAAGCCGCCAGTCCCGAAGAAAAGAAAGCGGCGCAGCCTTCCGTCAATACTGAAAGTAAGCCCGAAACAGCGTTGGAGGATACAAGAAAAATAACACCCACCACCGCTCCCTCGGAACATGAAAGCGCTTCCGTAGAAAAGGAGCCCAAAAACGTCAATCAAGACTCTCCGCAAGTTCCCGCCGACAAGTCATTGGATGTGCCACAGTCTGCAATCGAAAGGAGTTTTTCTACAAAATCTTCCAGTGAAGGGGATAGGCAGAAGCAACTGGAGTATGATCTGGACGAAGAGTTGGATTCCTTGCGAACCAAAGTCCATGACATGATGAATGAGACTGGTTTGCTGACGGATGTCGTGGACCAAAAGGATGCTGCGCTCCAACAGGCAAGGAGGCAATTGGAGAAATGTCAGGCTGAAAATGCCAGGCTAAAGTCGACTGCCTCATCTGTCGACGCCGCCCCTTCTGCACCCATGGAAGAATTGCAGTCATTGCAGACGAAATTACAAGATGCGGAGGAATCTATCGCCGCCCAAAAGTTCTTCATTGCATCGTTGCAAGCCGAGCTGCTGGCCAATGAAAGTAATGAGTCATCCAGTAGTGTCGTCATTTCAGATATGGATGATTCGGAGCAGGAACAGGGATATCCCAGTGGTGACAGTTCTGGATTGGAAGGTGCCGCTGCCACTGCAAAGTCCAAATCTAATACAAAAGCAGAAAGTGATGATGATAGCCTGGTTGAAAAAGTCCAAACCAGAGTATTTGGGCAGGAGCAAAAGTTGGATGCGGAAATGGAACAGGAACGGGCTCTGGAAAGTCAGACCGAATCCAGTCCATCCTCCATGTCGAAAATGGCAATGATGGAAGTTGCGGAAGAGCTATCCGAGTTGAAGCATTCGATCCGCAAGCGAGAGGAATCCATTGAAGGCCTTCGAGCCAAGCTGCAAGAACATGAAGCTTTGATTTCTCTTTTGAACAAGACATTGAGTGGGAAGGATACCAAGATTGATCGGCTGGAACGGCTCATTGGTCAATCACATCGCAATGTGAACATTTCAAAGGAATTGGAAGAGAATGATTTGACAATCGATGCACTCGTACTATACCGATTCGAAAAGGAACACCAGATGAAAGAGATGCAAGACAAGATTAAGGACTTGGAAGATAAAGTCCGAGGCTCCAAGGAAATGGAATATCAACTTCGCCGTCGGACAGAGGAATTGTCAGGCGCCGAGGGGAAAATACGGCGACTCAAGGCGGAATTAAAATCCGAATCCCAGCGCATGACACAACTGTTGGAAGAAAAACAAGAGAAACTTGGGCATGCCAACGAAGAAAAGATACGACTCCACTACGCAGCCGAAAACCAATCACATAAACTGAACGAGAAATTGCGAGAAAAGGATGAACTTATCAAATCCATTCACTCGGATTCTACGGAACAAGGGCTAATGATTGATTCATTGGAGGCTTCCTTGCAAGAAACCAATAAACAGTTGCAAAACATTGAATCCAAAGCGATCCAACAAGCATGCGAAGTCACCCTCCTATCAGGCAAGCTTAGCCAACTGAATCGAGAAAAGGCAAAGTGGATAGAGGCACAACAAGACAAGGACGAACTGATACAAATGCTGAACGAGTCTCGCTCGGAAGGCCAACGAATCATTGCCGAGTTGACTAAACAGAAACCTGAAACCACTAGACAAAAGGCCCTGCGTCGATACCACAAACTTCAGATGGCAGAGAGTGGTGTTTCAGGACTGGAAGCCTATATGGAACCCTTTGTTTTGGACATTCATCAAGCCCAGGCCCAGTATGAAAAAGCCCGAAAGAATTTGCGATTGGCCGAAGCGAGAGAGCGTTTGATTCGGCCTCGCGAGTAACAATGATGATTTTGATACTACTACACTATGAATAATCTCAGCACAATGTATACCTGTAAATATTTCAAATATTGGACAATTATTTCGTACGCGTAAAATTGGGGATGCCCCGTTACAACGGGGCTATCCCCCCGATGCCCGATTGGTTAATAGTACTGTACACTTCGTACCTACTCAACATGTCTACAGTACGAGTGAATATATCAATGCTAACTTTGTTCTTGGTTCCGCAGCAGAGGTAGAGCGACAATGGTCCATTGCAGGGAACCTTTTGGACCCAGGCCGCGCTAAAATGTCTCCACAGCTTTTCGAGGCCATCATGATGCTAAAATACAATGAACGCTTTTGGCTCAACAACACTTCTTTTGTTGGAGAAGCAATGGACTTGGCAAGCAGTGCAAGGAAAGCCAAAAGGGCCCAGAAGATTTTACAAAGTGCACAGGAGCATGATCACGAAGAAGGAGGAGGAGATTAATCGTTGACTGTTGCTTGTTGTGTTAAAATTAATTGGAAATAGTGCTGAAATTAATTGGACATGGTGAATAGGAATTAGTATCCAATTAAAATTAATTGCAAACAGAAAAGAGCAATTGAAGTTAATTGCAGGTAGTTGGCGAGCAATTGCAATGTGGAAATTGGTGGGATAAAAAAAAGCCGGGAAATTATCAATAAATTGCTATGTCTGCAATAGTAGTAGAATTGGGAATCACGAAAAATAAAAATACTTAGAAATTAAATTTTACCGACCCCTGAGTACGAGTATAATCATCTGTCTTTTTTTCCCTTCGATGGGACTATTATAGCTTCATAGATACAGAACTCGTCCTTGCGTCTGTACCACTCGTGGCATCCCATTGGCCGGGAGCACGCACGAATTTCTCCGACAAATTGGTCGGAGAAGGTTTTGTGGGTGGGAATGACGTTGGTGTATCGGAAATTTTGAGCGTAGGTAAATTTGTCGTTGCTAAGTATTTGGTTTCAGTTCATTGGCCGACGCTTCAAAATTATCCTCATACTCCTATATGTTCATACCCCAATATTGGCGCGAATCAGCCGATACACATGTATGGAGGTGTAGTAGCTCACCAAACATGCAACGGTCTGGAAGCGGCACCTTCTAGGTCATGCTGTGCTTGAGATCATCAGTGGAAACTGTTGGAACGGACGAAGAAAAGCCAACAACAGAGCAAGCAAACTCCACAAAGAGGAGTAGCAAGTGAATCTAAAGCATCAGAGCAGCTAATCTGAAGCGTAATCGTAAGCCAGCATAAGATGAAGATTTTCAATTTGAGCACTCAGCAACAGGAACATCGTCAGGAGCATCAAGTTTCCGATATGGACGCTTTTGCTGTGAAGGAAAACAACTCAGATGATACTAGCACAATGTCCACCGTTTCCGAGGGGAGCAACGGTAGTGAAAGTAATGCTATCACCTCTGCAAAAGCTGCCACCTCTCCGTCCAAGAGTGCACTGAGCGGGCTTTTAGACAGCTGTGACCTTCAGAATGTTTACTACACTGTAGTGGGCGGCCAACGCAATCGGGGCAATAGTGACAACAAAGAAAAGACTAATACGAAGGCAAAAGAAAGTGATAAGTCGTCTAAAGTTTACATGAAGAAGAAAAAGAAGAAGCATGGCTCTCGAGCAAGTGGAATTCAAAGAAAACAAAAGAGATCCTCTTCAGAAGATAGTAGTCAACGTCGTGCAGCTGCAGTTGTATCAGATGAAGAAGAAGAAGAAGAAGAAAAAGAGGCAGCACCAGAACTGAGTTTGGAAGAACTACGATACCGGCTGCTAGCCACTTCCAGGAAACTATTGCGCTCTCGAGGTTTCTCGATTCGTCAGCAACTTCAGGATCTTCTTATGGAAGAAAGTGCGACTCTACTTCAAGCCCAGATTCGTGGATTGTTGGCTCGGACCGTGTATCAAGAATTGCTTGCGACTGAGAAAGAACGTCTTAGAGTCGAGAAAGAGCGCCGTCGAGCTCTCCGAGACCGGCTTGTGGCGGCCCAAGTTATTCAAATCTTTTACCGCATGCGGTATCAACGAAGGAGCGAGGCTGCTAGCTGCATTCAGCGCCATCTCGTGACCCGTACGGAATACTACCGGAACTACCGGCTTGGGGCCTGTATTATGATTCAATCCGTTTTGAGACGAGCCCTCGTCCAAATTCACATGTCGAAGCGATACCCAACAATTTTTGTGCGACCAGAACCACCACAAAACATGATTCTGACTGAAAAGAGTGCCGCTGCATTAAAATTGCAAGCGGCAGTCCGCAGATTCTTGGCATACCGACAGTTTCAACGAGTCCGTCAAGGAGTGATTGCCTTGCAATCGGCATCTCGTGGCTTGTCAACTCGCAACGAGCTCTTGCATACGGAATACGATGAGCAAAAGGATAACGAGCAGGTGCCCTCTGAGGTAACGGGAGAGGATGACGAATCTGAATACGAGGACGAAGATGATGATGACGACGATGATGATTCCGAAGACGATGCAGAGGAAGAATCACTTGTTACGTATGACGATCTTCCTATTGAAGAACTCGATGACGAAGACCGGCATAGAGATGGTTGGTTTGAAGAACTTCTACAAGACATTGTGGGCGACTTTGAAGATACTTGGAAGGAAATGACAGTTTCCACTCCAAGTGTTGGTAACAAAACAAACAAAACAAAGTCGAACGGCTCGAGAAAACTGAAGTCGAGTAGACAAAGAGGCAAGCGATAGTTCTTGTTGATCCGATCGTTACAAGCAGGGATACACATGATGGATCTGGGAAGCAACTTTCTATCTTCCGCAGATAGTATTGCAATAGTTTCATCATGAACAGTTGTTATAGATTTATACATACATTTACACTTATTTTATTTGTTTTCAATCGTGACAAACCTGATACTTCCTTGTGAGACAGACAAAGTACGGTTTCCAATGTCAGGGCGCAAGTTGAGGAAAGAAACGGTTTGTATATGTTGCACCCATGCTTTCTCATCGCTGATTTTAGTAAGTTTGTCGAGAGACGATCCTATGAAATGCTTACCAAAACAACTGTTGAAGGCTTAACGTGACAACGTTGTGCTCCTGGCTCTCCTCGTAGAGAGAGCGTACTAGTGCGTTGATGTAGCTACTGTTGGACATGATAGACGGTGATTGATATTGCTAATGGGGTGTATTTACGGGGATCTGAAGCAGCTGTGAGTAGATGATAGATGATTGATCTTGGGCTTGAGATTGGCGACGACCGTTGGCCTTCGATCGCTCTAATATATCTGCTCGGGACTCGGCAGTCCAGTCAGTCACGTTACGTCCCCTCTTCTTCCATTTAGGCGACTCTGTTGTAACGTCTCATCTTGGTCTGTTTTCACCTCCCTCTTCTTGATGAATGGCTGCTGGCACCGAACAAGGTAGCCGAAGAAAAATCGCCATCTAACCCAGTTGCAAATCGGGCTGCAGGATTCTCTCTGACGTCCAGGTTGCTGGCAAGCGGCTTCAAGTGTCTGACAGTTGCGTCCAGGTCCAAAGTTTGACTAGGTGCTTCGCGGTACGACGGTCAGAACGGGAGGATCAGTCCTCATCTTAGTCGTTGTACACACGTATTTCGGGGAGTAAGGGGGTTGCTATATCTGGTCCTTCGTCTTGGGAGTTGGGTTTTTATTCAACGTTGTAGAGTATGCTGCGACATACTATACTTTGTTGTTGGCTACGCTTTTGTTGGGTCAACAAGCACAGTATGCTGCGACATACTGTACTGTTTGGGTCTTTCTTGTTGGTTACTCTTGTTGGCTACTCTTGTTGGCTACTCTTGTTGGCTACTCGTTTGTCAACTTTTATCATATGCTGCGACATACCATATTTGTTGTTGGCTACTCTTTTGGGTCAACTTGTATCGTCATGTGTGCTTCGACCTACTGCACTATGCTTTTTGGGTCATGTTTTGGGTCGTGTTGTGTTTTTCGGTTCTTTGTGTAGTTTTCGCGCGTGTTATGGGTTTCATTGTATAGTTTTTGCGCGTGTTATGGGTTTCGTTGTATAGTTTTTTTTTTCTTCTTTTTTTCGCTCGTCTCTTGGATTGATCTGCGTTATGTTTTCTTCGGTGTAATGTTGGTGGTAGTGTTGGGCGCGCTGTGTTGGTGGTTTCTGATGATGATGGCTCTCTGTCCTGTCTCGTTCTTGTTGTTGTTGAATAGTACTTTGGGTGACACTGCTTGATCTCTTCTGGTGTGTTCCACTGGAAGCATTGTGGGTCGCTCCATGGTGAGTTCAAATTCCTGGTTGAAGAGGCTTGAAGTGACTGTTTTTCGATGAAAGTCTGGCGCCATCTTTGCCTTCAACATGAATGGTAATCCAAAGAGTGTGTTGATGGGTAGTTGCTCCGTCAATCCAATCATCAACGTGTGATTTTCTCCATCCTCGTTGGCAAAAGGGATGTAGTATTCAATGATTGCCTCGATGTTGACGCTGTCTTTGATTCCTCCAATCTTGATGGGGGCGTAGTGAATTTTTGGAAAGTCGTACACCTGTTTGACCAATTGGGGGTATTGTTTTGCGATGGTGAGGTGGTATGCTTTTTCTCCTATGTTGCAGCATCCTCCAGTGTC